TATGCACAATCTTATGTAATCAAAGTTAATTATGGGATTTATTAGTGCATTGCCCCTGAAAATGTATTCAAGTATTTTTTCCATCTAGGGGCTATATATAAATATAATGTGGTCTTGCTGATGGTATCAATACAATGTTTGTGCAATGTTAATAATAGTCACTTTAACAATTCCAACCTCCCTTCCCCCCTTTCGTGCTGACCCCAAGGGCAATAATATTCATGTTACCTGATAGAATGAAGATACCAAAGAAAAACAAAATAAAGGAAAAGAGAAGAATCTTCATTATTAATGATTTCTGAGGAGAAAAAAGTCCACACACCTTCTGTTTTCATTCAGTTGTTGTTAAAATAAGGAAGAAAAATAATCATTTCATTTATAGACTTCTTTTTTTCAGTCTTGATTACTGAGGCTTAGTAAAAGTAAGAACTTTTACTTGCTTGGATGAACAGTGCCCTGTTGGAAGAGATGGTGTCTAGAAAAAGCTGGTATATTGTCCTAGAAAAATGTCATCTGCTAACTCCTCTTGAGGTCAGTTAAGAAACTTTAACAGTTACAATATTATGGATATAAATTGCTGAGTGACCAAGTTAAAAATAATTTTGTAGCAATTCACATAATATTCAGGAGAAATGTGTTTAAATAATCACATTTAATATTTTAATGTCCCTAATGTGAAAAATGAATCTTAATGTAATGAGAAATCCAAAATGAAAATTTAGACAGAAATTTCCATTGAGAATATTTAATTTTACACACAAATTATTGAGATTCAGAGTGGTTACGTGATTTCATAATACACATCACTTTTATTTAAAATGTATATGAAAAAAATAATGACTGCATACTGATGTGTTTGAAAATTACCTTATATAGCTTATTTATACTTGAAGAAGGGTCTAGTCACTCAAGTAGGATTCATAAATGTCAATGTGCAAATATCCTGTTATAACATCAGATTGCCTTTCTCTTCTTTTCTGTGTAGTTTGGACTTACTTTTGACCCCATTTGCAAGCTTTCCAAAGTCCATTATAGTAGATATTAGAGAAAAAAAAACCCCCATGAGCAGATGTTAGGAGCTAAAGTCCATTGATTCTCTCTTACTACACCCAGAGAAGGCACTAAAGTCAGGATGGCCAAGTGGTCTAAGGCCAAAGAGGGCACTAAGCATCTGGATATAAAAGAGTCCCAGTGAACATTAATCGTCCTTATTCTACAGCAACAGAGGTTTTGGCCATGACAACATGTATCAATATTCAGAATCTTGGCAAGGCTTCCTGAACAAAGCAATGAAGGGATATGTCCAAGACTTATTTCTTTCTACAACCAATTTCTACACTCTATAAAATGTTAATTAAAAATTTAAAAACCGTCTATTTAGAGCTTAGAACATGACTGAGAATTTTACCATCATCTGACATATGTCAAACCATTTAGGTCAATCTCCATTTAAGATTAACTCAACAGAAATTAAACACCTACCATGTGCCTATTGCACCTCTCGTTGCTGTAGTATAACTGTGAAGATGATAGGATATCTCATTGTTATGGGTAAAAATAAGTACTAAAAAAAGAGAGAAAAAAGTACTAGTTGAGTAACTGGAATTAAATTTCAAGGTCTATTAAAAACAATTTACTGGAATTTAACTGAAAGTGAGTAGGAATTCTGTTATGAGAATTCCTCTTTGATTTTCTATCCTCTTCTTTCCCAAAGATATGACAAAGGTGAAATAATGTTATTTTCCTCCAAAGGCTGAAGCTAAATAGAACTGTATTTTTGATATTGTCTTTATTAAATCTGAAGGAAAAAAACAAGACACAGCAACATAAAACATTACTGCCAATTCACTTAGAATACTTATTGACCCAGGCCTTATGGAGGACAAGGGAACCACTCTCTTTTTTGAATAGGTAAGTATCATCTCAATCATTTGCTCTGGTTGTCCAACATGATAAACACATTCTACAGGATCTATATTACATAGAAAAACTGGACTATTCCTTTAAACATGTATTAATTGTATTATTTAAATTATATTTTTGTTTATAGATATAAAGAATTTTAAATCATAGATAACTGAATAATTTAGGAATGCTTGGATTTGTTGATCACTATTCTATGATTAACTCATAGCCATTTTAGATATAGATAGTAGTAGTGAAACAGATAAAAATACCTTGTCAATGTTCTGAGAAACAACTTATTTTTGAAAAGACAAGAAAAGAAATATATGACAATTCAGTAGGATAAATGCCATCTATATTGTATGAAAATAGTTTCTTATGTGTCTTCTGAGTGTAATATTTTCCCTCCTATAGCTCAAAGTTCAACATTGTAGACTGAATATTACAATGTTTCTGGACTAGGGATTTTTTTTATCTAATAAGTAAAACATAGACTATGGAAATTAAAGCAGAAATGAATACAGCAAGTACATTAAATATTTTATCCTACTTCATTCTCTTCACTTCTTAATTATCCTTATTCAGTTACAGAGAAGCAAATTATTAACACAATTAGTGGTTTGAGACCTACAATATTTAAGTTTATCAATAACCATGTGATCTTAGGTAATGAAAACGCACAACATTTATTTGCCCTCTGCTTGTCAAGAAACAAAGAAAATACTTCCCTTTGGACTGCTGAGACCATCTTCTTTAGAAGCAGAGTCTCTACAATTAAGTATGCCTTTATTCCTAAGAAATTACTTTATTATTTTTAATCACCATAAAAAGATTTTTTTATATTTTTTAAACGCTTTAGGGAAAAGAAGTGAGAGGAAAATAAAAAATCCAGCCTAAGAAATCAACTCTAGGAGAGACCAAGATGGCGGCATAGGTAAACACCGCAGACTGCTGCCGCAAACTGAGGGGCCCAAACTGTTCCATTCTCTCTATTCAAATCAAGGGACACCATCAATGAGAAAATCTGTTGCCACTCCATATGTATTTATTTGGCAGGAAAAATGAAAAGGGTGAACTATCCCCATCCACCTTTCTGTCACATTTTTCCTTGCAACCATCAACTGTGGTTCTTTCATCCACAGTACCAAGAGTTTGGAATACACTTCTGATTTAGAGTTAATATTTCATATGTTCAAAAGTGCATAAGAAATTAGTACAAGGATTGAGGAAGCAGTGTTTACAGATAATGAAGTGATGATAAAATATTATTTGCTCTATTATTTTTCAATCTTTTTACCTTAAAGAGTGAAAAACATATTTAATTTAATCCTCATTTGATTCTTTATGTAGTAGCTATTTTTATATGATAAGAACTCTTTACTTAAAAGATTTAAAATTCAGCAAGTCTTCTCTTGATCGAGATGGCATTAATATTCCCCTCACTATGCCTGAATTTCAGATAGGTTTTTTTCTGACAATAGGCCCCTTATATTACTGAAATATAAAAAAGGTGTTCTTATACATTTACTTTAGAAAACTTGCAATCATAAATTCTTTTTCTGCCCTTTTGAGATATAAATATTCTCCCAATCTCTAGTTAGTTTATAATCCAAGGATGTCTTTCCCTAGGCCCTTCTCAAGGATTAAGTGATTGCCATGATTTGCTAGCCTCTTAGCTCTGATCAACGGCATAAAAAGGTGAAAAAGAACATCAACCTCGATGTTGAGATTTGAATGGAGATGTGTATTTTTTCAAAGAATAGACAATAAAGAATGTGATGTGTGTATTTCAAGTGAGAAGATATCCATGACTTCTATATAACCTCACAGAACCTACAGATGGGGAAGAAAGAACTCTCCTTAAATAAAGTCTAGTGCAGATATGGTCATTTGGAGAAGGGAATGGGAGGTTTTGCAGCAGTGAGATAATGAAAGGGAAAGCAATCAAATGAGAAATAAGTTCAAGGTGTAGGAAACTTTGCCCAGAATTGATGTAGCAGGAAGCGGTATAATTTAAGCAACTTTGATGTGATAATGCTTTCATGTGATCTCCAAGTTGGAAACTATGTTCAGGCTGACCATAAAGTCAAATCACTAAGGTTGAAGACCCAAGAACACTCTGTAATATCAAGCGCAGATAACAGAATGAATAGAATATAGAAAGTTCTTCCTGAACATCTTGTAACATTTCAATCCAACCACATAGCTATTTAAAAATAAACAGTTTCATTAAAATGCTGCATTCCCTTTGATCCTAATCTATGCTCCACTGGCATTCTAAGTAATGGTAGTCATTAGATTAGTGATAAAACTTTGTAACATAATGAGAATAATAAAATTTATGTCTTTGTTTGAGAAAAAAAGAAAAAAATGAAAATCAAAGCTATCAGGTCACAAAGGCATGGAGAATAATACAAAATATGAGAATTGACTTGAAACTCATGGTTATTAAACATTTCTTGACTTACAGATTCCAGATTCCATGAATATTTATGGTAGGAGTGAAAGGAATTTGGCTGTAGAATAAGGCATAGAGCAGTGTTGGAACTTTTGTGTGTGCAGCTAATACTTACCTGAGAATCCTCCTTGTTTCGTAGTTACTGCAACAACTTCTTTCAGCTCATGGTCACAGAAGCATATGAACTCAGCCGGTGTGGCTCAGTGGTTGAGCATCAACCCATGAACCAAGAGGTCACCAGTTTGATTGCAGTCAGAGCACATGCTCATGTTGCAGGCTTGATCCCCAGAAGGGGGTGTGCAGGAGACAGCTGATCAATGATTCTCTCTCATCGTTGATGTTTCTATCTCTCTATCCTCTATTCCTTTCTCTCTAAAATCAGTAAAATCAATTCCTTTCTCTCTAAAAAAATTAATTTACAAAAGCATATGGGAGTGGAGCCATACACCAGTGTAAGGCCCCAGAATGTCCAGGCTAGAAGCAAAAGAGCCATAGGTTGGCCACCTTCTTACTCTTCCCTTTAACTCTGTCACTTGAGGTTAAGGAAATGGCGTCTTTGTACTTGTAAAAGGAAGATGCTCATCAAAGCCTTTTTTATTCAGGGAAATAATAAAATTAATTGTGCTTTCAGGGAATTAATAAAAAGCCTTGATGCAAATTATATTATGACAGAATTTTATGTTTACAATCCTACTGAAACACTGTGGTCCCCAGAACACAAAAATGTTTTCCAAAATCTGTAATAGTCTTTTATGCATCTCAATGACCTCTTTGAAAGTGGAGGAGTCAGCTAAGAAGGAGCGTTTAATGCCTTTTCTATGCTCAAAACTTCCTAAATTAAAAAGGAAATTAACTTATTGTGTATCACTATGCTGAGTGTTATATTAAAACACGTTCCATGTGGTCCATTTCTCATAACAACCTTGCTGGATGGGTATGGCTATCTCCATTTAAAGAGAGGAGAAACTTAGATTCAGAGAAGATGTATTACTTAGGTTATGCTAAATGCTGTTACAAAGTCATCCAGATATGAATAATGCCTTCAACTTGACAGAAATCTATTCTTGTCTCTCTAATGTCAAAATGGGTAACACTGATTTGTAAGGTTGTAAAGCCCTGATTGTTGGCTTGTTTGCTGAGGCATCTACCACAAAGATGGCTCTTGAATAAACACATTGCCAGTGGCACATTAGATAAAGAGCCAGGCCTCCTCCCCACAATGAGGCTCTATTTTTTTAGAGATTTTGGTTGATTTCAATAACTAACAACCTGGTATTTTTCATCTTCTCACATTTTAAATTCCTACCCATATGTTTAAATTTATCAACAAGGAGTAAGCCCATAAAACAGTGGGCTCCTATCTTCAAACCCAATAAAAGCAGAACTACAAGCTTCTCTCTCTCTCTCTCTCTCTCTCTCTCTC